TCAGTTCAAAAGTTGGTGAGATTGTGTGCTAGTCTGTATGTTTGTAATTAAATTACGTCAAAACTGCTAAAGGGATCGGGATGAATTTTGGAATACGGGTGGATTATGGTCTTGAATAGCATTTAGGCTACATTTTATCGCACTTTAAAGCGGGTGAAGCCGATGGCGGAAGCTAGTTGGATTAAGCAAGCGATGTAACAAACCAAGACGAGAATGTGTGTAGTGTTTTAAAGAACATCGCATTTCTTTGTCGTCACGAGCTAGTTCTGTGCCTAGTACGCAGGACACGTAAAAGACGACTAGTTTTACACTCGACTACGCCACCAGATGACCAAATAAAAGAGTATAATGAAAAAGGTTTTTAGCTCTGAAACTTTATCGCTGATTAACAGAAAATGGAATATAAAATAGATCACGTTTTTTGTTTGTAGATGTAGGTAGTGTTGTGTTGAAATTAATCTATTTTTGTTTGTTATTTCTCGTAACCAGTATTAAACTGTCAAACACCAAGCGGTCACCGGTGACCGCAACCTATTAATCTATAATTGTGTCTATAATGACGGTACTTGACGAGTTAAGAAATACTCCTGTATATTAATCAGATGATAAGATTTTAAGTTTCAACGCTAGGTTGGCAGGATTTGTATATGATGCGCCTGATACTGCTCTATATTCCGAATTCGAACAATAACTTCATGCTGTATCAAAAGAAGTACATCTTCACCTCTTTTTAGTATGACTTCGGGGAAATTCGTCATGAAACCGAAAATCCAATAATACTTTGTTCGTTTTGGTATTCGACCTTAATACTTGAAACTCTATGACTGCTTTGAGCGCTAATCTCTTGGGCACTAGATATTTCTACGTGCCTATTGGGTAATTTTCGTTATTCGTTTTTTTTTTGGTAGCTTTATACGGGCCATATGTCAGTGTCAGCTTTGGCAGGGATTTAGGAGAATTACGTTTCGTGTACATTCCCATTTAATGTGTGGAAGAGGAAAAGATATGTGATGCCTAGCCTACCGTTTTGTTGGCAACAGACGATTTCATACTAAAAGGTGTTTAGCACATGGGCTTGACCTAATCTATTTCCGTCATCGAAGAAAAATAATTAAGAATCGGAGCAAGAATAATGTCTGATAAAGGTGAGGAAGAAGTTTCTTAACTTTTCCTAACAGTTTGCAGTGGAAGTGGAGATCAAATGTAGATGTTTCAACAATCTGATAACGATATACGTAACTCCAATCGAACCACTTAATCCGGTCAAAATTACAGAGTTCTAGAAAACGAGAACTGTATGGCAGAGGCGCATACCGTAATCAAATAACGTTCGGTCCTCGGTCTGTACCTTTGTGAAATTTTAAAAGTGCATCGTTTTAGACTTTTTATTCTAACATAGTACGTATATGAGATATTCTAATCTAGAGTCACGGACGGGTTAAGTGCAGTGACGTGGCACAACAAAGGGAAATGAATTTTGGAGTGAAGATGACAAGACTCGCGCGTATATTTCATTTTTACTCTACTTACACTATGCATACGTCACAAAGTGAAAGGGTACTTTTAATAGCCTTTCAGCTTTTGTGGAATTGTATCAGTCGAGTACTGCTGGCTACATGCGAAGGATTTTTTGGGAAAAGACAATTAACTGATTCATTTTTTAACTCTCGTAAGCTACAGTTCAGACCTTTGAGACGTAATTGCATTTTTAATATTAGGTACGTACATACCTACTTAATTACTTCTTTTACTTACTTTTGTATGTACCTTTACCTTTACCTTACTTTCGAATCTAGATCCATTCGAATCTGATTGCACTATTTGCAAGTAAATAGATTCGTCATAGGTTTTCTTCCAGACCGCACATTCCAGCAATAAATATTTTCTTCGAAAGGAAATGTCGCTTCTAATTATACGCAGTAGGCAATCAGAATTCCTGGTAAAGCTTTTTGTATTGAAATATCAATAGGAATTCTTTTTAGCACCTGTCACTTTTGTTTACATCCGTTGTGGTTTTAACCCAGTTCTAAATACAGTAGCAATATTGAGTTTCTATCGAGAAAGGATCGAATAGAAGGAGGTTAATTTTATTGGTCACGGTTCGGATTTTCGGGACCCATAATTTTTCTTTCGAAGGGAACGGTCCCGCAAACACTTTACCCTCCTCTCGATTCAATATAACATGTCTAAGCACCTCACCTTTTCGCCAAAGTGAGATTTGTATCTTTGAAAATATTTCGGTGCACAACAGCTGGGTGCGAAATTAGTTCCTTCCTTAATGTGTTAACCGTTTTGTTACGAACGGAGATCTTAGTAATTTTGTTAGTAGGAACACCCGGTGTACATCATAAATGTTTTCTTATTGTAATGTCTACAAAAGGACCTTATACCTTAAACTGCGAAAAATTTGTGTACTTATCTAGAAAGCGGCAGTAGAAAAAACAGTGTTAGACAAATCGCGATTGTGAGAGAAGTATTCAGAATGCACAGTATCGTTTTGTGGAATCATTATAACGACACGACTAAGCATGACATGAATTGCAAAAATATCTTATTCAGAGTAAACAATAGCCTCGGGTTTATAGTCCACAGAAACATATACAAACTGTATTCAGTATACGACACCTATGCCAACGAACTCATTAGCCAAACTTAGTTAGTCTTAAACAACGAGACAGAGCCGAGAGACAAGTGCATCAGCGATCTGTCATCACTGTCGGTTATCGCCCCAAACATTTAGCCGACTGCGCCGCGCCGCCGGCCGTGCAAAATATTATCATTCAACAGTTGGAAAAATTATACGCAAACGTCGGAAAATTTTACACGACATATTTACTTTATAAACGTCAATAATAAAATGTAATGTTGCATTAATTTTAAACATTTGGTGTTTTATAGTTTTCGAATGTGGTTATTTAAATCAGCGTGGGTATTTATGAGAATTGGCCAAATAATTGTACCTGTACAACACAACATATTTATTGAAAATTTTTGGTGAAACAATACTTAAAGGATATCGTATTGAGAAATCTCTCCTTATTCTAGTGAGGAGTACTCTAAAGTCAAAACATACGCGTGCAGGGTCGATTCACACGTCTCAACATCGTGTGAAACTGACTGGAATAAAATATCATTACATTCGCTTTACACAAACATATTGATGATCACCTAGTGTGTTTCTAAATAGATGTGGGAAAATCTGAGTTATTGTATGTCAATATACTACGTGATGATGATGTGTGATTGGGTTGAAAGCTTTAGAAACTTTGTTTTCATTTCTCTATATTGATTTCAAGAAGGGATTCTATTAATAATCATAGACTAGTAAGTTTCTAATTTGTAGGTGACTCTTGAACAAAAAGTGTCTACCTTTTTCCCCTTAAAACAGCTACAACCAGGAAAACGTGTGACGTGTTAACCTGAATGATTCTTCGCTTTCATGATATGAATGGGACATTTCCACAGAAAGAAAGAGCGGAGGGTTGATTTACTGCCGCTGTATGTGGGCGAGGTTCGTTAAAATGTTATGCATAAGTGTGGGTAAGTACATCGGTTAATAGAACTTTGGTTTGCTTGGTTGAACGAGGAGTTCATTTTCATGCATTTCACGAGGATTATGGTTATAATAACATCAGTTAATGAAGCTATAGTTTTTCCACCGATCTGTCAGGAACGACTACCCGCAAGAAATTGTGACTGGTCCCTGTACAGTCTCTATTGTTTGCATTATGCTAAAAGCTTTTATCTGAGTCCAGTATCGATTAAACTCTATCAGCATAAGTACCTTTTACTGAGTAGAGTGGTAATTTCCACATATTCTACGGGCGAATGATACGCAGCTGCGGTTTATTGCTGGGCCCGTTTACGAGCCCCTGCGATCTTAATAAACAGCACGCTTGGCTTGAGACCACTCTCAGCGCCATCTACAGTCCGCTCTCCGGTCGTTACCGCACCTTTACTCTTCGGTTCGTACGTTTTAAAGTGGATTATCTTTGAAGACAGCGAGGGAATGTAGTGTGATTTAGGTACCTTAAAAGGGCGGTACAGTAGCTCGTGTTCGCTACGATTTTTTGTCTCTAAAGTCTTTTTCCCGCAATGAATTTTATTGAAGGTATAAAAAACGTTTAGATTTATTAACGTGTTTATTGTATTGGAGGAATTTAAGTTTGCAAATCGATTTCTATCGATCATCTGTGGACCATTGACCAATTGGTAAAACAAATGTACAATTGTTACCTTATCCCTTCATACCCATTCATACTCCGTTCATCATCAAAATAAAAGCGTCGAAACCATTGTGATATTTGTAACGTTATTTCTTGCTAAGGAATGGATTTAATAGTCCAGTAAATTACGAGTAAACCTTCCTAAATTGCGGATGAATGAGAGATATTCTGAAGAAGAGGGTGCCAACGAATCTTTGATATTTATTAATCTTTCGCGAATTTGAGATTCCTCTCCATCTCAAATTGATGTTAAGGCTATTTATTAACTGTTGCTCTTTAGTCGGAAGGCCAATTTGTATTATTGTTACGAAACACTGTTGTCTCTTATCCTTTTGTATTATTTCGGTACTGGTCCTAAATGAAAACGTGGTTCTAAACATTCAATTCGGTAATAGATGACGTTTCTATTAATTGAATTTACGTACTGTTAGATTGTTAATGTTCGGTATAAACTTATAAAGGTCGCAGACGTCGCAGTCTCAGAGTAGTCCCAGTTACAGAAGTTAAAAATACGTACACCGAAAATATGTACATCTTTTTTAACATGGGACAAATGGATTTCAGTATATATTGCGACGATAACATTGATTTGCATGATTTTCCGTTTCGTTATTTATATTAATGTTCTTAATTTTCTTACCATTAATTAATTATTGTTATTGATGATTAAGCAAGGCATTCTATTCTCGAGAAAATAAATATTAGAGATTAATGGATGGGCATTGAAGAAAAGAAAAAGATTACAAATTAGGAGATTTCTTATTATAAACTAACCTTTCGGTTGCTCTTAAAGACGTTGCACTTGAAGACGTTGGTGGCACCGTCACGAGCGATGTAAGAGAAGATCTTCAAATCGGAGCTGTCGTGAGACACGTAGAAGATGCGGTAGATGGGATGATGCATAATCTCGTCCTCCTTGATCGTGGTGGTAGTCTTACCACGGCCAAACAGCTTTGTGCTCGTCTGAAACAAACCGACATTTACTCAAGTCCACACGTGTTACCAAAATTAAAACTTAATTCCAACATAAATTTAGTTTCGAAATTGAAAATAGTTTCTGAATTTTGTATGAAATGAAATTAAGTTTAAGCGTTTCTACTGTTGCATATAGGATGGTCCTAAGAGCTTACGTGGTTCCATGTTCTGTCTATCTCTTTGTTTTACGATTTTAAGCTTCTAAAATGCTGACCAGAATTTAATATTTTCTCTCCATATTTGCATTTTCCACATGAGATTACATCTAGATTAAAAATTGTTTTCATAATTTATACAACAAAATAATCTTAAGTAAATACTTCGTTTACTTTAGTACTCCAGGAGAAATATTTAATAAATTGTGTTTAGTTGCAAAATTTAATAATACATTCTCCTCCTGAGTTATTAAAGTACCTGTTTTAAAAATTGTGGACGTTTTTAATATTGTCGTCTAAAGCATTTTACCTACATTGCTTACTCCACACACTATGAACGCGGTTTCTACAATAAATATCAATTTGTTTACGAACAAATGGTCAAGGAAAAATAATGTTCAGTTCAATTTATAACAAGAAACATTGAAATGGATTTATTTTTCTTTAAAATAAGTATTTGAAATAATGAAGAGTGGACCAAGGTTACTCTTCTTCAGGGGTAACAAAGAATCGATTCTACAATGGAAGCTCGGAGCGCCGCGGTTGCTTGAAGACAGCAGGTTGACAGGCGTCTATTATAACCCGACATGATTTACGAGCACCGAGAAAAAATCAGTGTCACCGCTGTCGTATAAGAGATAATTTAGTAATATGTCGTTATATCACCCCGTCACACAGTAGATAACGTCGTCCAAAATCTATTGCCAAAGACAGAATGTAATCCTAATTATTCCACACTTTTAGACAAAAAATCTTAATCAAGCCCTGATTGCTTTTAGTTTTTTGGCTGCCTCTTTGTACAATAGTTACACGCTATTTGCTCTAAATGCTGAACAAATTCCTCTGAGACTTCCAACAATAGAACCCCAATTAGAAAATGACTCGATTAGCGCGAACAAAACGAGGGTTTCTGACGAGATTCTGAACGTAGCTAATTCTACAACATAAGCAAAAATATTTGCCAACATCGAGTAAAACTAGCTGCTGGATTATCTTTGTATCGGAAAAAGATTGAGTTAATACATAAAAGTTTTCATAATCGATGTAATCGACGTGTAAGAGGCAAATAGATCTTTAATTAATAATAATAAAAACATTACTTATGGAAAAGACCGTTACAGTTTCAAAGTATCGGTTTTCCTAACTGCATTGCATTTTTAAACAACTTGGAACATTTTCTGTTTGAATTATTAAATGATTGGCTCGTGAAATCAATCAAACTTTTTTAAACACCAATTGAAGTTTTCCATTTAGGTTGAGATCGTGTTCAAGCGGGCAGATGTAAATTGTCAGTATTTCATGAATAAAATTGCAACACAAATATTGAGTAACATTTTGTTTAAGCTCGATGTGTATGACAACTCTTTCTTGACATAAAACAGGTTTATATTTATCCATTTCTGTTATTTTTGGGCAAAGATGTAATTTATTTATTTGGTCTCATACTGAGATCCCGGTTTGCACGACCCAAATTTCACATTGTCGGTTGTAATTATATTAACAACCTTACCGTAAATGTAACTTTAAGTGGGGTTAAAATATTCCGTAGACCGCTAAGGATACCTTTCGACAACAATACTAGAGCCATTATTAAATACAATACGACCTACTTTGTATTAAATTAACGCTAGTTGGGATTTTGTCTCGTCATTTGCCCTTAGTATGTTAGGTTCCATTACTGGCTGATTCACACATTTAACTTAATCATTAACATCTTTAGATTAAAATGTTTGTCAACGTTTGTACATTTCTTTTCGGAGTAGTGGTATATACTGACCTCATTGGTAAAATTTGTCATTGAAAGTAGAACAAAATTGTGCTCACCTTGGTCTTACCAACGGTAATGTTGGTCCTGGTGGTTACCCGGACTCCATCAGTCGACACATCAACGGTCACCTTACGTTTCTTCACACCCCTCGCCTTGAATTCGTACTGTAAAAATAAACTTCTATCAGATTAAAATATAAGAGTAAATACAGGTCATGTGGTCAGTTTCTATGAAACGCTTGCTGAGAAGATTTGTTATTTAACATACTATTCCGTAACAAAAGTGACGAAAATTAGCTCTAAACGTCTTAATAATAAAGATGTTTATTTCATGTGTCATAATGTAAACCTTGCTATTATTTCAAGGGCTTTTCTTATAGCATTTATCTAGTGTGTTTGTTGTTGTCACAATAAGTTCGTGACGAGGGTAACCAGAGTTTGGTCAGCTAGCAAAAATAGCAGAATGTTTGCACACCACATGGTCTGGGGTCTTAACCTAAATCAAAACATATTACCTTCAATTAGACGAAGATAGTAAATCCCTTAGTGTTGAAGGCAAGTAATTGTTCGTACACCTGCTTTTCTTTATGTGATAGAGGTGTTTATGTACTACTGATCTTATGTAATAGGACGTGAGAGATTGAAGGCGATAATTTTATTAGCTGTCGTCTGAATGAAGTACTGAGTTTAATTTAATTGTGCTTTTGACATGTGTTTTCTTCTTTAAATAAACGTTGCCCCACACAAAGATTTTCTCCTACAAACATACAAGTTCACATTACCTACACCCAGACCCGGAACAACAATTTGTAGATCACACAAAAAAATGCTCCGTGCGGGACTAGAACTCTCGACACGTTGCGTGGCAGCCGTTTGCCTAGCCACCACACGAAACGTGCCGTCTTTTTTGTTTAACACTTACGTTTATATTGCAGTTAATAGTTACCTTAGAAGACATATGAATAGAAGAGTAAGATTACTATATAGTACTTTATTTTAATGACCACTATTTCAATGCAAGATTACTTCACGTCATGAGCACGAAAATAACAGAAGTACAAACGAAACAGCCACACTTAATCTAACTTTAGAATTTCTTAGAAGTGTAATTGCACGAAAATAGCAACAATTATAATTATTTCACACACACCTGTACCTCGAGTATAATATAATGGATTCGCCCTATTACTTACACACATGCAATATAATTTTGTAAAGGTAAAAGCCGTGAATGCTTACATTGAGGAGAGGTGGGTAATTAAGTAAAGTGGCTCTTATTAATAGGTCTCAAAGTCTACATGATAGATGTGATACTGAACTGAACTGTGTTTTAAGGACCTAATTTTCCTTGCATTTAGTAACAGGTGCGGTTAAATTTTATTTCTTACAATCGGTGGGCAATGTATAAAGTTTAAACATTAATTAGGGCTGTCTCATAGGTCCATTTTTCATGTCAACTTAGTAAAAACACTTCAACTTTTTATTCACAATATAAACCTCTTTTAATAAAGGACCAGACAAAAATGTATAAGAATAGGTAGGTACCTATTGTGTGTAGAATCAACAAGTTAGCACATCATATTCACAATATTTTATGCGAATGTAAAGGGAATCTTCGAGTTAATCGAATCAGTATTTTATGGATACTCGACTGTTTTTATGATAGCAGCGAATGACGTCATGGAAGGAAATTACTCCACAGTTCCACTCCAATCTTATAATTACTTTCAGCGTTGATGATGAGTTGATCAATATATTATACCTCTAGTACCTACTGTTTTTTATTTATTTTGGGCTACACGCGGTAGGTATTAGATTTTATTGATGAGGTTTCCAAAGTAATAATAATTGTAATGTTCTATTCGTTAATTAAACAGAACGAGAGTATTTTAATCGATTTCCTAAAAAGGAGAAGGTTCTCAGTTTATCCGGTATCTTTTTGGTTGTATATTTAACACTGAATGAAGTTCGTATTGTGTCCGTTACAGAGCTCAAAATATACTTATTCGATGATTTTCTTAGTGCTTCATTGTCTAACTTTTCTCTTATAAGACAAATACCAGTTATTACGGTAAATTTTAGGATATACACCTCTCAATACTTTGTACCTCCTACACAGACTAGCAAATGTAGAAACTAGGTATCTATATGAATAGTTATAAGGCATCAGCAATTCTTGCGTTAGCTTCACAGTTGGCCTGAAACCGCACTTACGGAACAGTTAGGTTTGCATAGTTTCAACTAAACTTATATTAATACAATTCTAAGCTAATAAATTTATTTGTGTAAAACCAATGTTGATATATTGCTCTCATGATTATTTCTAATGTTTTTGAAGTAAAACATCTACAGCACCATCATTGGCGGGTGACAGTCCACTACTTACTAAACTACTAGGTCTCCTCTACTTAAGCTTTAGTCCTCTCAGTATTTTATTCTATTTTAAAGAAAATCAGGATTTAATAATTTAGGTCCAGAATCCCACGATTCAGAAAACAGGTCTCAGAAGGGACGTGCCTAGTTGATTGGAACTGGCTTCTTTGAGTAAGACATTGTCACACAGTTGAATGGTAGTTAAGGCTCAGTCTTATCCATCTAGACGTTTTCTATACGTACAGGTTAACAAATGAATAAAACTTAGGACGATATTTTAACTTCAGTATATTACATACAGGGAGCCAGTGGATGCAGGTGGCGAGTTGTTGTTCAACGTGGAGGACTGAGAAGGTTTTTGTCCCGCAGTGGCTGTTAATGATGATGATGACGATATTACATACAAAATTCTTCCTACCTATGAATAATACACGTCGACAAGATTTTTAGCGGTTTATAAACAGAATCTATATTCAGATTAGTACGATCGCGCCCCCTCGCGGTATTTCAATGTAATATTACCGCTATAATATCGCACCTCAATCCGATCACGTTTATGAAATGATAATGGCAAACCCCAATACTCCTAATTTCACTAAATCTGTCAAACGTTATTTACCTACAATCTTTTAAAAGAAAAAAATCTGAATTTATTAAAAGGAAACAAATCCTTTGGCAGTAAGTCTACTTCGAAGTTTATTTTGCGGGAAATCGTGTTTTTACGGACGATAAAAACCGTGTAATACTGTTAATATTCTTAATGGCCAAGGTAAAAAGTCTACGAAGTATTTATTTTATTTCATCAAAGTAAACTATTGCTCCGGATAAACGACAAACATCATGCTTTTGGACTGTACGATGCAATGTTTGGTTTAAATTAGGAAATATTTGCTTTTGGTGCGTTTCCGGAGCAACCGTAATGAGCAATTAAACAAATTATCATCTAGCTCGACCATTCCAGCTTTGATCGCGAAGGTAATTTTCATTCCTTTACCGAGTAATTAGTCGAGTATATAAAAAGATATCCAAATTGATGTAGTCAGTACAAACAATCATACTCTTTTGCATTCAACAATATCAACATTCCTACAATAGCTAGCTGATTGAATACCATGCTGGAGTAATTTGATATGACAGAAATATGGTTTGTAGTCATGCTTGCATAACAAGTACCACAAATGAATTGTGACCGGCCTTTTGAATGACAAATGTAGCCAGCATCCCAATCAAATAAACATGGAACTGATATAGGTACACTTGTTAGTGATATTCTCTGCATATTAAATTAAAAGACGGACACATGTATCCAATCAACTACATTTACATGAGAAACTTGTGACACGTGTAGGTATTTCTGTATCCATGTGTAAAACTAAGTAAATTAATTACTTCTAATCTTCGCAAATTAAAAAACGTGTGTGTGGGAAGGGAAAATACTCATGCCTCTTATTACACAGTAGAATTTTTCTTTAGAACGTGAAATTTCAGTATTCAGAATTCTTATAACTCATTAGTGTGGGAGAGCCATGCTTCGGCTCGACCGGAGTGATACCACAGCTTCACAGAAAACCGACGTGAAACAACGCTTTTTGTTGTGTTTCGTCCTGTGAGCGAGGTTACCTGAGGCCCAATTACACTTCTCCCCCTCCCCAATCCCCGAATCCCCCACAATCCTCAAATTTTCAAAACCCAAAAGCTCGGTGACGCACTTGTAACGCCTCTGGTGTTCAAGGTGTCTTTATGGGCGGCGCCGATTGCTTACTATCAGGTGATCCGTCCGCTCGTTTACCGACTAATCTCATAAAAAAAATCTTGGTGAGCTTCGTGACTAATATCCTAAATGGCGGTATGGTATACGAGACTAAAACAAAACTATGTGACTGCATCAGTTAACAGCGGCATACAGTCAAAAGAGTCTAGAAACTTTAAGGTATCGTAAAACAAAATTGTATTCACAGAGCTAAACGTAGCGTATCTGGACTTTAGTCTCAGATTTTTTTATTTCACTGTAGATACAGATTAACTTCCACAGTCTATTTTCTCTATCAAAAGTTTAAGGAAACTTCCAGTCGTTTTGTTACGTTCACGAATGGTCATGAAAACGGAATTGCAAAAACTATTCGTGGAGATCTCTCGGTACAAGTTTGCTCGCCTCCGATATTTGCAAGTTGATTCCCTTTTTTGCTTTCAAAAGAACTAGTGGTTTCACTGGAAAAGTGAACTTTCGATATTAAATTCAGAGCTTGAAATTGTACAAAAATTCTGAGGAAAAGTGATTCACTATGTTGTGATAGGTCACACTGTCGAGACATCTTGCCATCTAGATTACTCTCGATAATTTTTAAAATGAAATACCTATCAAAACAATACAACAATGCCACAAAGAAGACAATAGCACAATAAACAAAAATACATTCCAGTTCGAAATAGATTGCATTACAAACAAATCAAACTCGAGAAGTAATATAAAAGTTAAGAATTGTTCAAACCATTACCAAGCTACTTACATTGGAATGAGCGCGATATTAAATACAAAATTTTTGTTATTAAATTCGTAAGTAAGAAAGAAATATGTGCCTTAAGTGGGATGAAACGAGAAGTCTATCGGAACAGGGGCGACAAATTACGCAAGGGGAAATATTGCTGCGTGTGTATGTACGTACACTTGCCCCTTTCCTACACGGTCTGAATGACAAATATCTAAGTGTGTGCTTCAACAAACATTCTGTAAGTCTTAGTCAGCTATGTACCTACTAGATTTCCCTTGTTCTTACTTCCAAGTTCAACTATTAAAAAATACTTTTCTAAATTAATTATTATGTTTCCACCTTACTCACATAACTGTTTAACGACGAACTCGACTATTTTCTAGCCATGCTAGAGGCTCATATTCAGATACTTTTCTACGTCAATGTAAAAATTTGTAATGCTATTAACTCGTCGAGTACCGGTTTTGTAGACACAATTATAGAACAATAGGTTGCGGTCACCGGTGACCGCTTGGTATTTGACAGTTTAAATTAATTTAATGCATTTATGTTATCTACACATATCATATTTATGACGTCACTAGACGTCGCGGCCAAGATGGCGGGACAAATTAGACATCTATGTATGACAAGGATTGGCCACAAAAAGCTTTACATAGAGAGGAGTGGAAGGAGGGTAGAGAGGCCTTTGCCATATAGTGGGACGATCATGGCTTAAAATAAATAATTAAATAATAATGTTATCTATCAGGTACCTAAGTTATACATGACGCTAATAACTTCACTTTGTAGAATGAAAAAACAGGTGTTACTAAAGCACTATCATTTATCTAGCCTCATACCAATTTAAGGTGTTCGTATTTTTACATATTCAGTGAGGTTGAGTGATGATTTTCAATATTGTTTATGTCGAAAAAGTAAGCTTGTCATAAGTAACGGAGCTTAGAGGATTCAGCCGGGCTCGCATGGATTATGTTTCAAATCATTTTGTCTGCATAAATTATTTTTTAGGTCGGCACAGATGTTCTTGTTTTAGAAATATTTTATGAAACAAGAAATATCGCTGTGTATAAAAAAGTAACAATAAATTGTGCCTATCTTTGCGTTAGGTTCATGTGAAGGTATTACAATGTATGAACATGAAGGTAGTAACGTAACTTTAGATTACTTCTAAGTTCATTTGACGTAAGTAGTACTGAATTATATGTTCATAGAGCTTTATTTTCTTGTTACTAAACAATGTAAAATTACCAACTAAGCTAGACTAAATCAATTTTATCGCCAAACGGTGGGTTCTAGTGTCTCATTCTGTTTGGTTAAGGTTACCTCTGAGGGCAATTACGTAGTTCGAATTACATTTAACTAATCTTTTGTTATTGATGATATGGATTCTCTTGTCTTCTGATTCTCAGGAGAATTTCATTAGGGTTTAAATTAGTTCATTCTAATTAATGGATTTGGCAACTTCATGTCGTAAATTAAAGAATTATTTCCTTACATAAACAGTGAATGTCGTGTGGACATTGCGCTACATTTGAAGATACGAGTAGTTTTCAAAGATTACGAACAGATAATATTCGTATATTTATAGTTCGTGTAGACATGTTAAAGTTCTGACCAGTGATGTTAAACTGATACATCAATTACATTTGCATGAGCCAGTGAATAAAAACAACTAGTATTGGATAAATGTCGGCGGCAGCATAAAGGCATACTCACACGGACGCGTCGCATCGCAGCGACGATCTCGACTCGGCTGGTAGGGCGAGGCACGTCCATTGTCCCGATGTACTGCAACAAAATAAAACATTACATTATACTAATGATCCAAATCGCTCCGTAATTAACATAATCTTTCTAAAAAATACACAACATTAAGCGGCAACTGTAACACATTTACATTTCCCTTTTTATATAGAAGTATTCGTAAAGACCTATACACATTTTAAGTATCGATAAAAATTAGCATAAAGAGTAACGCTTTAAAGCAAGCTCAGTTAATTTTCAAATGAATAACAAAGCGAGCGTAGGTTCTCAAGAAAACGTAAACAAAAGTTTGAATACAAATAGTTTAAAGTGTAGAAGTAAACTTGAAGAAAACATACAAACAGTTTACGAACTTGATGTCGGAAGATCTAGCGTGTATTGTGTGTGTTAGGAACTTATAAGACTAGAAAGTAATATTCTTGTTTCATTCAAGAATAAGGTTAAACTATCATGTAAGCAACAATGTCCACAGAAATAGGTATAACAAATATATATAAATATAAAATGGATGTGCCTATGCATTAAAATTTTCGATTGACAAAGGATTTTGCAGAATCTATTGTTATGTTTTTAGTAATTTGGATTATATTCAACCTACAATGAAATCTGAATGGAGTAATGACAACTACAAACATTTTAATATTGTGTCTTGATTACCCCTATACCTATTAGTCTTTAGGTCTTTTCAGTCAACTAACCCGTGTACAAAACCGAAAACCATTAATTTCAATAAAATAATATATGAAGCTAAATATAATTTATTAAAATTGAACAATGAAAGGAAATACTGAAATAACACACTACCTACTGAAATACCATCCTTTTTCTATATATCAAATTGAATACGTAATTTGCAATAAAAATAGAAAAGGGTAAGCCTTATACTTATCCGGTTTTTTCGTGATATTCAGAATCTGATTGTCCCGAATTCAATCCTACTTAGTAAGGCTGAACGAAGACTTATCATAGTTTATGACAAATTGATTTTATTGGAATAAGATCTCTTCGGATCCTGATGAACTAATTTGCGGCAAAAAGCAGCTTATCACTGTATTGAATAGAAATGGCCAAACCAATTACTTCTACGAAATTAGAAGTCAAGTGATTTTCTGTGAGATTATACTCAAGTCAAAAATGAAAGATAATTAGGTTAACCTAAATAATAAATTAAGGAAAAGATAGAGTATTTGTTTGCAGAGCTCATTTTATAGGTTTATTGTATTCATATAAATCCTTTAAAGTTCCTAGAAGTCTATTAAAACTAATTTGAATAAATAATAATTAACATCATCATTATTATTGTTATGTATTTTTACCTAATTGAAGCACCGTTGATTAAAATAGATATGTCATCTCTTTCTTTCTTTATTCGATACTTGCCCAAAAGATGTTCTGGAAATACTGTTAATAACTTGGCAATAAATTAGTCTAATCAAAGAGTTAATGTTTTATTAAAACTGTTCTCTAAAAGAGTTTAGTTGAGATAAAAATTAAAACTCAATTAGATCCGTCGGAGAGTCCATTCGTATCATAAAGTAGGACCGTCGAGAGTTAATTGATAGAATTATTAGATTGCAATAAAAGTACTATTCAGTATTCAGCGAAGTTTAAGAAGTTAATTGTGGCTCACTTGTAACAGATAGTCACTTCTGATTTTCATCGAGGTTATACGTGTCCTTTCTCACTATTTCATTTTTGTATTTTTAAGGTTTCCGTATCGAAATAATGAAAAATGTATGCTAATATTTAGACTCAGGTCTATCTGTCACCAGGCTATATATTTCATGAACGGCAATGATAGCAAAGACATGCAAATGTTTTTGAAGGCAAACATTTGAGATTTTTTTTTAATTGATTAGATTCCAATTATTCTTAATCTGATTAGAACATTACCCCTTTTGGTAGCGACACTTACGGTGATACGATCAACGAAGTACCTAGTCTGTGTTACATCTTATCTGTCTGTATAGTACCTGGGCTTGAAAGCGACGAACCTCCCTCAGATTGCCACTGTCAAGATATTCTGGGTGACTCGCCTGACCGCCTCAGGGTTATAGTTTCACGAGCTTGACCTCTTTGACTGGCTTTGAATATAGAAAGCCTTTCACGGGTCGAGACTTAAGAATAACCCAAATTACTTCGAAATCTAGGACCCGGGATTTTCTATAAATAGATGTTTATAATTAAAATTAGTGTTTGCTAAATACTGCTTGAGAAAATCGTTAAATCTTCACATGTTGTGAAGATGAAGCATTCATTTTCAAGAAACATAAAAATCATGAGTGTAGTTATATGCATGCTAATATTAGCAGGAATGTCTTTGTGGCTCTAAAATTATAGGGTGTGTGTGTGTGAGTGTGTGTGACATAAAATCACATATGAAGCTTTTATTACGGTAATGGTAAAAGTGCACACTACGCACTATGTAATAGTCTGCTTGTACAGAGAATTTCGTTATTGAATTTTATCCAACAATCGGATTGAAAAATCAAATTCCGCAGTCTTTTACGATAAATATTTGAAATAGCTCTAGGTAATAAAAGTTAATATAAAAATACTTTTGAAAATCTCTGTACCTACTTATATGCAGTAGATATATTTTAACCTATGAAGTTTCCTGCTCGTTCTTCTCCATAGGAATCTAAACATTGGAATGAGCAAATAGTTTCACTTTTAATTCGTTTATTACGTGCAAAAGTGCCTTTCTGGTCTTATTGAATTAAATGATTTTGACTTTGACTTTAAATATGTTTTTAGAACAGATATACTTGACAGGAAACTTTGTCACAGAACCAACTGAAGTTCTCAGGTCGGGTATTACAAACTTAGCAATACTTAAGTGTGGGAGAGCCATGCTTCGGCACAAATGAGCCGGCTGGACCGGAGTGATACCACGGCTGAGAAGCACAAGGATACCGGAGGCCCAACTGGCCCAATCACCACCCCCCTTCCCCCTCCCAAATCTATGAATCCCCAACAGTGCTCAAACTCCTCCAAAATAATAATAATCTTTATTACGTAAAAAAGTACACAAGTATACATTAATTTGATACAAGTCATAGTGTCGTAGTACAAAATTAAAACTCTGACCTCTGTACTAGGGAAATATCTGTATCACAGAGATCCTCGAAAGGCCTGGCTCTGGCCCAGGTGTCCGTAGGCGACGCCGATTGCTTACCAACAAATGATCCGTCTACTCGTTGACCGACTTATCTCATAAAAAAGAAGAAAAAGGAAATTGGTATCATTAAAGTTCACACATTGTATTGGAATCAAACTTTTCAATCGACTCACTGGACTACCAAATGCACATAAATCGTGGAACTTCCAGATGGCGTAAATACTACCTAGCTACGAGTAACTTAGCTGTTGGTTATAATATAAAGTTGTATATTAGTACTGCTTTTGGATTTAGTAAAAATAAGGACGACACGAAAATTTCTTTAAACTACTACTGGGGGATGTCCAACAATGGTAATTTTCGAGACTATTATACAATTTTTTTAACTCAAGTCTTGGCCAAAGGACCATGTTTAAGATTGGTTGTATTTCTAGATTAAAGACCGAACTACTGCCTTTGTTGCGCACTAAGTACAGAGTCTCATGATGAGAGTTTAGCAATCACATCAGATTTTATAATTATGTGAGTATTTAAAGGAAGCTTTCAGGTTCACCATTTCCTTCCCTATTCCCAACTAACTGTTGCCCGCGTTTTCGTCCGCTTAGAATGTGATCTGTTTTATCCCTTGACAACATTTCATTGGGATGAAAGTCACCTATTATCTTAGCAACTAGGTCAGCCTATATCCTGGTTGTATACCAAATTTCATCAAAATCCGTTCAATAATTTCAGTGTGATTGAGAGACAAATATCCAAACAAACAAATTTTTACATTATTTTATAATATTAGTGTGACTATCTATGAACTTCGCAACAAGTAAACCGCTTTTAAATTTTTAGTACAATACAAGTAACCTTAGAAACCCACGCAGCGGTTTCAATAATAGTTTTTGGAACCCAAACGTTAATGTTCTGAATAAATTAATAGCGTTCTAAACAAAATAATAAATTTAGTTAAACAAAACAATTGGAATGGAGTGGTTTACACCGCTGCCAAATACAATAAAGTGGCATAACCTAACTTACGTCAAAGGTGTATTCAGCCGGGTACAAGAAATAAAGGAGGTTGACCTTAATTAATTTTATTTTAGTGAAACCAACAACATTTAGGTAAATAATAATTAAACTGGCTAAATAGCCAGTAATTACTTTTTTACATTTTCACAGTAAACTTATTTATACCTATTTGTTTAGATCCCTTTATAACTTACGTTTTATTTGATTTCCGAAAAAAGGTTCATCTGTTGTATAAGTATTTTGTTGTCTAAGTATTTTGTTTATAAATTGGTACCAAAATCGAAGTACAGACATTACTATAGCCAAGCGTATGATAACGTTCTTAGGATCCTAAATTTAAAGAAAGATGATTCTTGTCAGTAAGGCAGTTAACTAAAAAGCTAGATGCCTAATCCATTCACTAACTACATTAGTACCTAACATCAAGTCTCAATCTACTGAGTTTCATCTACACAATTTAAAATGTGACGATTTGTCTTTTCAGCCGACTAATTTGCTTCCTTGGGAACAAGATAAAAGAAAACAATTATTTTTCAGTCGCATTAAGACCTTTTTACGAGCGCCTGAATAATTTGTGGTAGCAAAAAGCAGCATGTAATCGCTAACGTATAATTTTATTTTAGGCGCTGACTTGTTCGCTGTTCTTAATCCTTGTTTTAATTGTACAAAAGTGAATTTTGGGGTTTTATTCGTCTTTACATCTTTTTAAATGAGTCTGTAAACTTTTTTTATCTATTTATATGTTTCGTATGGTATACGTACTTGCAGTTTTTTCTGTAGACTCACCGTTATCATGTTAGAAAATGGTTTGTTGGATTAAATTTAGGTCTATGTTTATTGTGAATAAGTGTTATTGTGTAAAGAGAATGGGAAGACATCAATAAAA